GTCTAACCTCAAAGTGTTAGCTCTAAGATTTGAATAGTCAACTGTGTCTATCCTCTATGTGATAGCTCTAACAGTTTAAAGCCTGCAGTGATTTCTTCCGAGCCGTAGTCCATCTTAATGTCTTCCTTCAAGTGATATTGCTTTCAATTCAAACCTGTCTAACCTCAAAGTGTTAGCTCTAAGGTTTGAATAGTCAACCGTGTCTATCCTCTATGTGATAGCTCTAACGGTTTAAAGCCTGCAGTGATGTCTTCTGAGTCCTAGCCCATCTTAATATCTTTCCACTAATGATAGCATATTATATGTGAATTAAGACCTGTCTACCTTCTAATTCATAGCGGTAAGGTCTGAATAGTTTACCATGTCTATCCTCATAAATGACAGCTCTAATGCATAGCATTTTAATAACTTATGCTGGATATTCTCTCAAAAATTTTAAGTTTACAGTAATTACTTCTGCTTCTCTGCACCGCTTAATATCTGCCAGTAGTATTTTTCGTTCTTATTTTATGATATATACATAAATCCATGTATATATTCTAAGTGACAGTTCTAACGGTCTGTATATAGCATCTATATAACTCCTGTTAGATATTTTTCCCAGCAGTTTTAATTCAATAGTGCTTGTGCATCCCTATCTCCTCAGTATTATACTTTCCCTTTTCCTTCAATACTGTCCGAAACTATGTACATGTCAAAAGTGGGAATAGTCTTGCCCAACTTTCAAATCATTGGTATGTTGTTTTATTTTGCTACCTTGATGTCCGGTGATCATGTGGGGGTTCTCTTACGTTGACAATTTTTGGACTTCTTTTGCCAAACCCTTGTGAGACTTTCTAATACTTTTACATCTATAATTTGTAACAAGTTTTTCATTATGTTATACTCATAATATTGAGCCCTTTGTAATAAAAACTATACCATTAATTATCTTTATTTGATTGCTTCTAAATCTCAGTACCGCAAAATATTTTCTCATGTGAAAAAAAAACACAAAAACCTATGGTTTTTTGGCTCATCGACATTAAGAGGAAATACACACAAGAAGAATCGTCCCCCAATCTAATATAACTGCCATGGTTTCTGGGTCATGCCTACAGAACTCCATTGTTAAGTATATAATAATTTTATTATTTCTCGTTACTAATATGATCAAGTTATAGCTTTGACACTGCTTTATGATCTTGTTGAATAGACTTGAAAGACTTCCTCTGACTGTTTTTTGTTTACTTGGCTCAATTTTAGATTGTATGTTAAATTTCCGTATTTTTATTTAATTTAAAGTATTGAATCCTCAATAGTTAATGAATAGAACCCTCTCTATCTTGTTAATATAAGAAGCCGGATTTTTATCAACTCTGGGTAAAATTGTACAACGTAAGTATTATTTAGTTGTAGTAAGTTCACTATTCATTATAACTATATTGTTTTGCTCAAAGTTTTGTATTGTATTCTACGATTCCCAAAAATATAAGCATATACTACTTTAATATAGAATAATATCTATGTAATTTACTCTCCATGAAGGACTAAAACCCAAATTTTTCGATTCCAGTCGAGAAGTGTCAATTTATATTTCAAACGGTTTTATGTGTTTAATGTTTTTTTTTTTTTTTTTTGTAATATTAACTACCATCTAAGGTCAGAAATTTGCCACTGATATATATTACATAACATTATATATACATTATTATATATAATGAGGTTTTAAGCACAACATTATTAACCTCATTTTACTAATAGCAACCAAAATGGGTTATGCACAATCTATCTAGTCACTATTTATATCAGTATTTTACATAATTCCCTCTTACTACAACAATTTATTATGTTGTTAACATATTTTGGCAATCAGTGTATGCATCTGTCAGCATAACTCTATTGTGCTTTTACCATACCCAGTTTTAGTTATGAAGGTGATAATAATAACATGATAGGTATGAATGATACCATAATTAATTTTACTGAATAAATCCATTTTTATTTTATTTTTTAATTATTACTTCACATATTACTTATTTTTAACTTGTCATAACTCTTTAATATCTTACAATAGAAAATTATTTCCTATAATTATTTTTAAATTTCTTTTTAATTGTTTAATTTACCACTGTTTTAATAAGTGAAATATGTAATTTTTATATTTTCCCAGATTGATGTTTTATGTACAGCTGCAGGCCATTAATGCATTTGCAACTCATCATTCTATTTAAAACCTAATGATGCTAAAAATTCTTTCTTTCTTGTTACTTAGGTTATATTAAATTACATAAAACAGCTCGAATGCAATAATGTGCCTATGTTTAATTTGAATTAATTAATCATGGTCTCGATTTTAATTTAATTGCCTATCAGCCGAAATTTCTCCATATTATTTTATCGTCTTGTTATATTAATTGTTATATAATAATTATTATATTATATTCGTTTTACTATCTCAATAATAATAATTTATCGTTTACCTTCTATACCAAGTTTTTTAATTATATTTTGTTAATTTTTTAAAATTGACAATAATCTAAGTCATGAAACATTTTACAGGCTATCTGTTGTCTTTTTATTATTCTTTTAATAATTTAACAATATATTGTAATTCAATCTGATGCTTACAATACTATTTTTGTTTTGCATATCTGTCAAATCTGGTTTCATTCGCAACATGTGAAGCCAAATATATCACAAGGGATATAATTTAAATAATAGGTTTGGTTCAATCTTTCAGATTTTTCTAAACAGCCTATAAATGCTTATTTTTTACTCACTTTTTGCTTACTTATATTTTATGTGTATTTAACTTGTAACCTTTAGATATTTCATATCAAGGTAAAACAGTTCTCATATCACATTTTTTTCTTATTTTCTTGTCATATTATCCATCCATCCATTACAGTCTATATAAGTCCACAGCTGCACATAGGCCTACCAACACTCAATGCCTGATAGAGGGGTGTCATATTATGTAGCTTTTTATTTTTTATTTTATGTGTCTACAAAATAATATGTAATAATAAACTGTCTTTATATTTAAAAATGCATCTATTAAATCCCATTTATTTGGGAATTAACAATTTTAAGGACTAGTAAACTGACTCTCCCTTACACACCGGATAATTTTGTCCCAGAATTCAGTTATTATTTCTAACTTGTTCTGCCAATTTTTTGTGGATGTTAAAGGTTTACATAACCTTAATAATCTTATGAGTTAAGTTTATTTATAGCACTTATTTCTTTTCATAATCAGGATTTTCTGATACTAAAGAAAGTTTAGTTATAATCTCAGGGTATACAACTAATCTCAGGGTTTATAATTTCCGGGTCTGCTGCCCCAATTTTCTGACTGATAATGGCGACTGTCCAACGTAAGTAAATGAAAGTAATAAAAACATTAATATATATCACTTAAAATTTCTCAACGTATCCCTGTACAATGTATCTCAACCCACAATTATAGGTTAAAATACCTATTTACTATTTCACAATATATGAGTGACGAGGTTATGTTATTAACCCTTAATAGTGAAATTGTTCGATAATACTTGTTAATAAATGGGCACAGTGAATCTGATTTTATTATTTAGGTAATAAATGTTTTAACTTTATTTATTTTATATACACGTGCACCTACCTCGAACAATAGGATTTTTGTTTACCTTTGATCGGTTAGCTCCATTTTGAATATCTTCCTTTCCCATTTTCCCAAGTACATAATCAAATTATTACCACGCAGATACGTAATAAATTTATTTGTAGTAGGTTTTGGATACAAAATATTTGATTTTACACTAAACATATTTAATTTTTACAACAAAAATTATAAAACACACTGTGACAGCTGGCACAAAAAAACGCAATGAGGTTGCATTGACGGACGGGTGGATACAGTGTTGCCAGATATACTGCTTTAAAATTTTTTTTAGTGAGCTTGGATAAATTGTGATGCTGGCATGGAATGCGGCGTACTACAATTGTTAAGAATGTCTAGGACAAGGAGGGAGTATAATTGGTAATAGAAAAAACTTTTAACAGAATTGTATAAAACGATCAAAAATCAACTTTAATATTACTTTAATTTTTAGGTATTTGTATTTATAGTATTGTTTAGGCATTATCGTAAAAACTATAAGCAGTATTTTTACGAAAATCTGTGATTATAGAAATAATAATAGGAATGCAATATATTATCTTGGTCAAGTATGCGTATTAAAATTGGTTTTTGGAATATTTAGTATTTCTACAGCGATCGATATTTTTCATCACAAGCCACTGTAAACCAACGGTATAGTAACCCGCTCACGACGGCAACCGCGCCCGGAGTGAGTCAAAGTGTATCTGTATTTAGTAAAATATATTATCACAAGGCTGCTCAACCATCAAGCATTTCAGAATTTCTCAGCCGAAAAAATTAATTATAACTGAACAAAACAAAATTAAACAGCCATTTCCATTCCATGGCTTCCCACATGAGAGATGAGGTGATTAAAAAATGATTGAGTTGAACAATTGATAATTTCAAAAGTTATTGTGTTTGCCCCTCCATGCGGACTTGATAAATCTACACCATAAGGCACTAAAGGCACTTTTTTATGTAAAAATAGCAATCAATCGACTTAAAAAAATTGTAACAAATTCAACAATTACTTATCTTTCTAACCATGTACTTTTTATATATTATATAAATGTTCAATATGATTGTTAAATACGATTTCATGCGACAAAACGTTGGATTATTGATTTTTAGGCGCTAGTAGAACATACCTACGCGCTTTGCGCTTAAGGCATGTAATACATAATTTGCGGAATTTAACCATTGCAAATGTCTGCTATTTGAAGTAATGTTATATTTATTGTCCATGCAGAATTCAATGTACATTTGGTGTCGAGATCATCGCCTTCATCATCGGTATTCAGACACAGACGCCGATCCCCATAATTCTAAGCGGGGCTTCTTCTTCAGCCACATAGGATGGTTGATGTCAAAAAAACACCCGTATGTTATCGAAATGGGTAAGAGGGTTGATATGAGTGATCTAGAAGCAGACTGGATGGTAATGTTCCAAAAAAAGTAAGATTACTTGATTAATTTTAAGATTGTTTAGTATATGTATATCATTATATTAAAATAGAAGTATAAAATTTAGGGTTTAAAATTTTATATAAAATTAAAACATAAGCAGTAATCAAGTTTTAATTTCATATACCTATATAAATGTGTTTTAGATTTCTTTATTCAGTAGAAGCAACAAGCACTAGATTATGCTGTAATAATTCTTTTTCAGATATTACTATCCACTCTACACGATATTTGCATTGTTTATTCCGGTGTGGGTACCCATACAATACTTCGGAGAAACGTTTTGGAACTCACTTCTTGTGTGTTACTTCTTCCGCTACCTCTTCCAAATAAATGGAACATGGCTTGTAAATAGTGCTGCACATTTATATGGAACTAGACCTTATGATAAGTAAGTGTAAAGTGTTACTTAAATAACTACAACATGCAAACCAAAATCATTATCTTTGACAATAACTATAAATGTATTACAAAAACCCAACTAGTAGAACCCGTTCGGGGTTAGCTAAACCAAGTATTCCAGTTACTCAGTATCTTTACCACTGGTGTACACTACTAGCCGTCTAAGGTAGCCGTTGGTTAGGCGAGCCTACTCTGGATGCCGTGGTTGTGGGGCCGGTGGAGAGTCACAATCTGTATTTAGAGTCGCTGCTCTGCCCTTCCCTCCGCAGCTGAAGTATGGGTCTTCCCAGTGTTCAATATGTGGCCTTATGGTCTGCACAACAGGGACTCGAGATAGATAGAGTGTGTTCCGTTACTCAGGTTTTGATGGACGCCATGTAGGAAGGAGTGCCTTGTGTTCCGCCTAACCTTACCTGAGAAGGGAAGGGGGAGAGAGGTTATCTTCTTCTCAGAAAAATGCATCATTATGAAAATAAAATGCATGTTTGGCGCTGGGGGATCGCGGATGTGTTCGAAAGTGTTTTACTGACACTGCCGATATGTGGCGAAGGTAGCATCATAGAGATAGAACACATAAATTAAGTTTTGGAGTACATTTTAGTTAACACAAATAATGACGTGGCATAACAGAATCAATCTCGCTATATTCGATACGAGTTGTAGTAAGCGACCAATGGAAATGTCGAAAAAACATCATGGTCTTTGACAAAAATGTTGGTATAACCATGTCACTTATTATACGAAATGTATAATTACCCTAATCGAAGATGGGAAACAGAGACAAAAGTGCGAGACGCCTGCATTATAAATCCACTTACCAAACATGGCGATTTTTTTTATAGAATAAGAGTGACAAACTAACACACAGTCAACCTGATGGTACGATGTGGCCCGTAGATATCTACATCTACCCTCGTTTAAAATTAAAATGCATATTACGTGACCCCTGAGTACTAAGATGCAATGCTTCATTTCCAGTTAGAAGTCTCCGGTTCTCTACACTCACCATAACAAATACATCATTAAGCTGTTATTTTAAGCTGGTATTCTGTGAGAGCATGGTCCTTCCCCGGTCGAGCCGATCCATTCGTCTGCAACCACAATATAGCTTTAGCATGGCTCTACCACTTACAAAATTTCGGTACGGCGATTTCGGAATAACTCCCTACAATGGGAAACTTCATATCGGGCTGTGAACTGTAAAGGGCAGATTTAGATAAAGAAAATGTACATGTAAATTGCATTTTACAGGAATCTTCAACCAGTGGAATCCTGGTTTGTGTCCTTTATAACTTTCGGGGAGGGCTGGCACAACTATCATCACACATTCCCTTGGGACTACAAAGCAGCCGAACTCCCGACGTTCCTCAACACATCGGCTGTATTGATCCGAATGTTTGAAAGACTAGGCTTGGCATATGATTTGAAGACCGTCTCACCAGAAATGGTAAGGTTAAATTTATACTTACGTAAAAACACATAATCTCATATTTAATATTATTACCTTGCTTGCTTTGCGTGTGAACGTCTTCCTTGCGAATCAACGGTAACACAAAAGATTATTAGATTACTACCACATCACATAGTAAGGACCGGTATTTTTATTATTTATAAATATTTATCTTAGTTTGCCAGATATCCAGTTGTAACAGAATTTATTTTAATTAATTATAGATGCGGCATAAATAAAATTACTAAATGTATTTAATGTAACTAACATAACTGTGCTAATATATATAAAAGAGGATGTTTCTTTAACTCAAAATCTATTTGATGGATTACCATGAAAATTGGTATATAATATGTATTTTTCAAGGGAGAAGGTTTATATTTATAAACTAATAAAAATTTAAGAAAAATTTAGAAACAAACAAATTTCTTTTTTTTTTTTCAATCAAGCACGGTAGTTTATAAATTAAACTGCATGCTATAATAAAAAAGTTGCTGAACACAACTGGCATGAAAACGTTTGCCGGGTTAAGCTTTACATAGTCAAATTTAGTCGTCCTAACTATCTCTCACTAACTAACGATTTTACCTGGTTTATTCAATGTGGTAGGGCCATTCTGCCTCGGAGACGACTACTCTGTCGACATAAACATTTACATTTTAATTATGAATCAGCGATCAATGTAAGTGTTTATGGGCCAAAACTTTCACATTGTTTTTGTTTGTCACTCTTATTTGAATGAAAAATGGTTTATACCAGGAAGAAAATATAATATTTATAGCGCTATAAATTGTGGAGATATAAATGTAATTTTTGACGCATGAAAGAGTAAATTAAAAAATTCTTAAATATTATTTCCGTTAATTGCTTTTCCAATGTAGTGAAAAATATAAAATATCTTGAACTTTCACTGTGCCATTTTCAGGTTACTAAAAGAATAATTCGAACAGGCGATGGTACGCATTATGTCTTTGGAAACGATGAAGCAAAAGCCGCAGTGACAGCTATCGGTCCCTTGCATCCTCTCAACCCGTCTTACACTACGAAATATAAGCCACCAAAAGCCAATTTAAATGATCAAGGTTTACCACTTTTTCACGAAATGGATGTAATAAATGTTGGTTCCAAAACAAATAATCGAAATTCTACCAAAGCCTAGTTTGAAAAATCAATAATAAATCTATACCTAATAATAAATCCCTTTAGAATTTCTTTATCTGAACCGAACTTATAGTCAAGCAAACAACGTGTATGGATTCTTGATAATGAGCTCTAATAAACGAGACCAGAGAATCCAGTACTCCACATTATCATCCCGTAGGTGTCGAAGTGGAATCAGAGATAAACTCAACGGAATGTGGGCTAAAACATCTTCCTTTTAACATATCAAAATATTAAAAGACCTTTTAGTAGTCGGGTACCGCAGTACCCGACTACCAACTGTAACAACTATAGCAAATATCTCTTCTATGATGCAATATATGGGATCCTATGTTTATCAGTGTAATGAATTAACGAATGAGACGTTAAAATATGTACATAATGTCATAAGTGCATAAAGCCATGGTGCAGTTATATTATTAGTTATAGTTGTAGCACGAATGGGTCGGCTCGACCGAGGAAGAATTACGCTCTCACAGAATACCAGCGTAAAATAGTAGCTTAATGCTGCTGTGTTTCGTATGATGAGCGTAGAGTACCGGAGACCCTTTTTACTGGAAACGAGGCATTCCATCTTAGTCCTCACGGGTGACAACGTATCTGCATTTTGATTTGTATTCGAGGATAATTGTAGATGTCTATTGGCCAAAGCAACCACTTACCATCAGGAGGACTGTGTGCTCGTTTGTCACCCTATCATATAAAAAAATGTATTGAATTTAACATTTTTTTAATATTAGCACTTGAATTTGTTGTCTTAAATTTGCTTGCTGCATTAAACAGCCAATTTATTTTTATAAGTATTTGTGTTTAGTGTAGTATAAGGTTAATTTAAGTTAATTTTGTACCTTCAAATTGAAGTAAACTATGTCAATAAGTACACTTTGTCGTTTATATTTGTTTCTCGATTCCAAATTTTCTGACCACAAACGCTATATGTATCTTTCCCATATATTTGGGTTATATTTATTATTTGTCTTGTATTGCCTGTGAAGTTTTAGCACTGTCCTAACGTTGGGTGATAATGCTTTTAGCATTAAGTCGGCCTTAAGGTCCAAAAAGAACAAATAAAATAAGTATTAGATAATTCATCGTTATTATTATTATAGCTCTTCACAAGTCCACTGCTGAACATATATAAGTAATATATACTATACGTGGTAGAGCCACGCTGCAGCTATATAATGGTTGTAGCACGAATGGGTCGGCTCGACCGGGAAAGGACCACGCTCTCACAGAATACCAGCGTAAAATAGCAGCTTAATACAGCTGTTTCGTATGGTGAGTGTAGATATCCGGAAACCCTTTTTTACAGGAAACGAGGCATCTGCGTTTTGATTCTTAATCGAGGATAAATGAAGATGTCTACGGGCCACAGCATCAGGTGGACTGTGTGCTGGTTTGTCACCCTTATTCTATAAAAAAAGAATAATAAAAATAAATCAATTACCCTGTAGTGGCGGCATAAAAGAACCTATCAACACATTTAGACCCGTAGGTGTTATAAAAGGCAATTATTGGAAATATACGGCTTTTAGTAAATGGTACAAAAATGCAGAAAAATATACCCAGTTCGGCGACGAACAACAGAGTGAAAGGTGCGATGCGTCTGGTGCTGCTTGCATGCTTTTTGGACTGCCTGTCAATCTTGACGATTAAAGCTAATGCCCCCTACAACGGTAGAAGAGACGCTACTAATACGCTAATGATGAAGGAGAAGAAAAAAGATCAGAAAAGAATAATTAAGTCATAAAACATGTGGGGTGACCGTCTCAAGAATAAATCCAACCGCGAATAGCAATAATTAGTGCTTTTTCATAAATTACAGTCATGTTGTTTTTGATTGAAAAAGTTTCTTCGTATATTTTGTATTTCTGAGAGGGGTTTCGGGCAAGAAAGTGTCCGCCGCGCCGCCCCAATGCGTGTTGGCGAACTTCACATGTCTTTGAAATATTTTTTCTTATTCCTCAGACATGCAGGTTTCCTCACGATGTTTTCCTTCACCGCAGAGCACGTGGTAAATCAGCACTTAAAACTGCATTTAACAATTGAATTGTTGCCGGCGGGGATCGAACCCAGGTTACTCGCGCTCTGTTATATTTTCAGCGAGCGTTAACCATCTGAGTTACCACAGCTTTCTATATAAACCACCTCAAAAATAAGGGGAGCCTGTGCCCAGCAGTGGGACGCATATAGGCTGTAACTTTAACTTTACTTTATATTTTGTATGCAAATTCGAAACATGTTTTTTTTTTCAATATTTAATTACATTTAATTATAACATGTATGTGCCATTTTATTCGAAAACTTGTTGCCGTCTTGTAGGTAGTTACATAATCCCGTTGATGTAGAAATCTTGGGATTTTTGATCAAAGAAATGCGACAAGTAGTTTTGACAGTTCTCTCTTGATGCTAACCTAACTAATTCTAAAAAGACCAAAACAGATAAAAGTCGAATAAGTTAGGAACTATTTATGCTAGTAACACTTCACGACCAAGATCTCATAGTTTTTGCTGAGTTACCAAAGAGGTGTGTGTGAGGGGGCGCCATTCGTATGATAGTTGCATTGATGCTTACTGCTACTTGCGGTATTGCGTCTTGTGATGGATCTGCGGGTGTGCTGCGCCTGATTCGACGACGTATCTTGTGGTTCTGGCTGATGGAGGTATGCGGGTGGTGATGTCTGCTGAGATTGTATGGGGGACCTTGGGATGGTGTAAGCTGACGATAGTCGTATTGATGCTTGTTGCGTTCTGCAGCAATGCGTCTCTACGATGGTTGTTTGGCGGTTCGCTATTCACAATGGCGCTCTCTGCATCTTGTCATCTACGGAGCTGCAGACTGTCTGACCTCCATGATGTTTTATATATCAACATAATAATGTCTCTCAATAACTTTCCCACCTTTGAATGATTGAAGGCAGCTTGTTGCTAGGTGAGACAAACATGATCAAAAATGCATATACTCAACGTCAGTGACACAAACCCTTTCTGATGGCAAATAATTACTATTATCTTATAACTGCCTTTTGGCTACATCTGCCATTGTATTGGTTTGTGAAGCATATGTGTCGACCTTATGCGGGTGGTAGCTGGAGGGAGTATCTGAGGAGACTCTCAAGGCTGCGGCCGAAAGCCATACAACGTGGGACCCCATACCCTTGAGGTGAGCGGTAGACTCATGACATGCCCTGCGGCTAGTAGCAGTAGTGATCATGCAATAGGTGGTGATGGCATACACTTACATCACGTCTGTCTACAGGAACGGCGGTCTGGCAGGTGGTGGCACTCACGGAAGGTTTTTATGGCCAGTGTGGCTATTTGCCTAACCCGTGTAACGTACATTCACTGTGGACTACGGTCCAGTTTCCAACTTGACGTCCCCTTCGAAGGGAGCGCTTTAGATGGTTGGTGCTCACCGCACACAGCGTGTGATGAGCCGTGCGCCTCCCTTATATTTTTGTTAAAAATGCCTTTCCTAAGCTGGAAGGGATAATTAATAATAAATTAATAATATAAACCTGATACACGTGGAATAGGGACGTTTTAACTTTCTTATCTTTTTTCAAGCCCTGTCTTCGTAAACGTGGTTCACTTAGCTTATAAAGCACTACCACTGGCTTTCAATTGTTCTAGTGATTATTTATTCTTCCAAAAGACACCGAAAAGAACATTTTTAACTTTTTGTAATAAAATTTCAGAATATATCGAATTTCTTCGTTAGATTCACTCATTTTAACGGACAGAAAAACAATAGAAAATTGGCGGGAAAGTGTGTTTTAATTTTTAATTTTTACTTTTCTTAATATCCTTTATGTATTTATATTAAAACCAGCCAGATACAAATAGTACAACCAAAGAGATTTTTCTTCAATTTTGGACAAACAAGACACGAAGAAACTTTGTCACCGTCCCATTATATCATGAGGAAGTCACGGTTATTTTAAGAGTAATTGTAGTAAATTTTAGTAGTGTCAGCGGGGATCGAACTATTCTTGCGCACTGTGAAATTTTATAACGAGCCTCTATTTTGGTAATATATGTGTATTACCTATCAATACGCAGTAATAAAAAAATTAAAACGTTATCCAAAATATTTGTAAAGTTTATTACAAAATCATTTATATAATTTTATTTTTGAATATATTAAATAAATAGATATACAATTTTATATATATTTATATATATATATATATATATATATATATATATATATATATATATATATATATATATATATATGTACTTTTTAATCAGTGCAAAAGCAACCATGTCGAGCATTATATTTTATCCAATATAAATACTTTGTGACCCTAGTGTACACCCCAGGGTACCCCGCGCGACCGCAGCCTATGCCCCATGACACCACACCTGCAAATGAAATAGTATTGATTTATTTTTATTATACAAGCAAAAGCCAAATTTTGGAAGCTAAAACTAGAATTGATTACATGTTACAAGCTATTTTTGGGTAACTTCAAAACCTTCTTCAATGAACTTAAGCTTAATTCTTAACTAAGTATTTTTGCAAGTTAGCTATGTGCCACGTTTACAAGCATAAAAAAACAATAATTTACCCAACACAACTGATAAAAATGGATATAAAATACTAGATTAACAGAAGTAAGCGTGACAAAACATGGTCTACATAGTATTAAGGGGACGGTGTGATCCATAGACACCTTCATCTATCCTTGATTAGGAATCAAAATGCAGATGCGTTATCCCGAAGACTAATACTGAATGTTTGTTTCTCAGTTAAAAAATATGTCTACGTCTATGTTAAAAATAATATATAGATATATATTATTTCACTTATTACAAAACAGTGCTTGATTACAATCCCACCCGATAGTCATTGATAATGAAGCCTTAGATAAATAGCCTGTTTTATCATGACAAAAGCCTATACCCGACTCATGCTAGATTATACAGACGACGGAAAATTATTTCAATGCTTTTAATTTTTACACATATTAAAATCTATATGAACGATAA